TACTTACATACATATTACATATACACACATAATATTACATACGTATTACATATACACACATAACTGAGGCTTGATTCTTACACAGCCTGCAATGCACAAATGGGGTCCACCTCTGTCACAAAGACCACAGATCCCAGGGCTTTGAGAGCAGCACAGCATCCCTTACCCACCTGCAAGCACCAAGAATCAGTCTTAGTTTTGTATTTGAATATAATCCAAATTTTTATGTATGTATATATGTATGTATATATTTGTTATTTTTTTCTGTTCTCCTTTTGCCAGGCACTGACCTCCCCATACCCACACACCACCACCTGCTTGCCCCCCAGCATGACGTCTGTGGCTCTTTTTAACCTAAAACATAGACATCACCCATTGCGATGAAGATAACACAGAAATTAGTTCAAGTATTCACAAGTATATGTTTTATTACCCATCCAAAATGGACTCCTTGCAGCAGTACAGGTTGTCAAACTTCTGCTTGATCACAGAGTCGTTGACATTGATGGCAGGGACAATGAGCTGATTGGTCTTAGACATTTGGTACAGTCTGAGAAGAGGTTGTGTTAGTTAGGGGGGTTATAACGGGAATTATAAGAGGGGTTGTTTTGAAACTGGATACTCACCTGTAGACTCCAGTCGCACTCTCTTCCACAATGCCTTTGAGCTGTTTGAAAATGCTGGGATATTTTTTCTGGATCCAGTGAGTCATGTCTCCTCCATCATCCAAAATCTATCAAACACATAAATCTACCCTTTAATAAATACCAAGTTTTGACCATGATTTAATGTTTGATGTCCTTCCCATTACATTAACTTTATATTATAAATGTGATTCTACTTGAGTACAATTATTCCAAAGTAAGAGTCTACTCCACTCACCTCTGGACAACACTTACCCCATCTGTATTTTGGCCTATATTTAACCAGAACAGTCCTGCTTATGAATCTTTTTTTCAGGAGAGATGTTTTGATTTTTGTTATACATGTTTTTAGTGAAAGGAGAAACTGGAGCACTTGGAGGAACATGCAAACTCCACACATGAAAATTCTGCACTGCCCCAGAATCGAACCAAGGTCTGAGTGCTAGTCGCTGTGCCACCATACCGTTCAGACATAGGACAATTGAGATGCCAAAACAAAAAGGTAATATTAGCTTATTCTGGAGTGTAAAAGAACGAGTTAGATAAGGAACAAGTTTGTTTACAAAATACATCCTAAAAAGTTAATGCAAATGATGTGTTATTGAATCAACATTCTATATTTATGTCAAAACATCCCCCATAGGTCAGAGTTTATTATATGTCCATACCAGGTTGGGCTGCCAGCTGGCTCCACTGATACATTTGTCGATGCACCACCAGAAGTCGTCCTCGGTCTGTCCTCTCCAGGCAAACACAGCTACACCTGAGCAGTATCACAGTGGTGTTGTGAGTTTAAATGTTATTACACAGAAGCAGAAGGAGGGCAGAGTTCTGACTTGCTTCGGCGAGTGCTGCAGCCACATGGTTCTGAGTGGAAAAGATGTTACAGGCGGCCCATCGGCACTGAGCTCCCAAGATGCACAGGGTCTCTATCAGCACCTGCAACAAGGAACTCATCTGATAACACCGATACCATTTCAAACTTTATTTATCAGTTTTGCATGAGTAATGTGTGACAACATTTATTTGTAAAATATAACTCATTCATACCATCCATAATTAGGGTGGCTGACCCAACCCTTTTGTATTCTCACATATCACCACTAGATGCTATCTACGTTACTGCAGTCTTTTAATGTGTCAGCTTCGAAATGACAAAATCAGGTGAGTCTGAACAAAGGCCAGATGAAGGGAGGTGGGAAAAGGTTTCATCTGCCGTACTGGTAACAAAAAATTTAAAATAAAGGGAATGGTAGCTTTAAGTACATGACGAGTACAATCATTTGAGTATTATTAATTATTCTATTCTATAACACATGCAACTCTCTGCAAATTTCATGATTATTGTGATATTATTTTTAATTGCAATCATGATGACCAAAATAATTGTGACATACATTTTCTAAATTGTCCTATGCTTACTGCACATTGCAATGTACTTTTTGACCACAAGATGATGCTAATACAACACTAATGCTTCCCTTATGCCTGCAAGAGTGCTAGTCTTGATATAGGTCTAGTTTACTTCTAGATTGATCATCTTGATATTGCTATATAAATATTATCCCATACCGCTGTTTGTGCAGTGATGTGAGTACAGCCCACTATTTTGGCTCCAGCTAAGGGCCTCTCTCCTCCTGCTCTCTTCCTCAGCTCCATCAGCGCTGGCATTTCTAAGAATCACAGACAAACCACATTACACACATATGATGCACAGTTGTATTGTCTTTACTCTTATCTAATATTGCGTACCTTGTTCTGCCAGTCTGATTTCCCTTTGCCCATATTCAACATGTTTGATATTTTTGATACAAAAGTCAGTCAGACCTCTGGAGGATTTCTGTACAACATTTCGGGGGCTTATGGGATCTTCATAGTTGTCACTAGTCACTGTAAGACAGTGAAGAGTCTTATTAAGCAATATCCTATTGTATTATTAACTGAGAAGCCTCTAATTACATAAACCTTTTCTGTTCACATCTATTTCGATACTAAGGAAGACTTGATACACTCTCTATCAATACCTATTCCGATTCTAGAATGGTACTTAATAACATTTTCTTTAGACAATAGAATGTGATTTCCAACATTAAATTGTAGTACTTTCTTTAATATTACCATGCAATCTTATATCTGTGTAACCTCACATACAGTCATCCAGGTATTAGTATGTGGACTCATTCACATACAACTCAAGATCATTTTAAAGTTATTCAAGAAATGTTAACTTCTGTTCTGTGAATGTGACTTTTTACTGTCAATGCCTGATCAAATCAGTATCTAGTTTTATTACTGATTCGTATTTTTGATAACAATAACAATAACTTTCCATAGAATGTCCCTGATATAGCTTTGTGTGTGTCTATCTCGCAATTATTTAATTATGTGTTTTTATTAACTGTAACCCGAGACTTGGCTTGCTGGAGTCCCCTGCTTGTTTCAATAGAGGTAGGTAAGTTTAATACAATGCTGTGGAGCATTCAGTTGATATACCCTCCACCATACAAAAAATGAAAAATGAATTACTCAAGATAAGCAGTGCATCATGTTAACTAACAAAAAACTCAAAAGTACATTTCTTAAATTGTTATGATAGTAACATAATAGATAATATATGTATGATAGATAGATAATATACCTGAGTCAGAGGAGTGAGATCGAGAGAGGTGGGGCGTCTTGGTGTGATGCTTGTCATAATCGTGGTTCTGGTCAGTCACTTGTATTTGCTTAAAAGAAAAGAATACTTTCAGTCAACAAGATAGATATAGTATAACTTTGAAAACTAGAACAGAATAATAGAATAGAATAGAATATAGTGTAACTTTGAAACTCTCAGTCTGCCAGCTTACAGGGTTTCATCTCACATGCCTCATACCTCAGTGCAGCGGCAATGTCAAGTTGTCCAGTCAAACACCACATTTATATTTTTTACTTGTTTTATTTATTGTGAAAGCCAATAGAATTCGGAGACAGTAGACACTGAAAGCCTATCCTCCTTCCTGAATGATATGTCATCTAAAAGTTCTAGTTCTAAAAGATCTATATTATATATGATATATATCATATATTTTAATTGTATGCAGTTGTAGAGCCAATATTTGTGAACTGCAAAATTTTTAATTCCTATTCTATGTTAAACTTTGACTTTGCAGTCAAAGTTAATGTTTCTTTTTAGTATTAGCCATCCTAAAATGTTTTTACCTCATCTAATCTAAAATATCGATCTAAAATTTGAAATACAAAATGTTAACGTGTCAAAAATCTGAACCATCTGAACAGCACAGCAATAACCAACTCACAAGCAACAAAAAATCATTGATGGGTAAAATTTTCCAGACAAATTTCCCTGCAGGGACAATAAAATATACCTTACCTAGCTATAGCTTCGGTCTGCTTCCCCAAATTGTCTGTTTATGCAAAGACTATAGATCAGTGTACTGTTTACAAAGAAGTACCTTGATACAGATGGGCTGCACTGGCTCGTGCTCCTTAGCCCTCCCCAGGCTCACTAGACTGTACACCTTCCTCATGCTGCTGTGTGTGGACCCTCAGCTCACAGTCACCTCTCACACACTATCTACTGCAGAACCACTGACTGACCCCAGAGCCACACACTCCCTCCTCTAACAAAACTGCACCAAGGGACAGGTGACAAAGAAGCCAGTGTGAAAAGTGTAAATGAAGCCTTTGTGAATGAACAGCTGGGAAAATGCCCCAACCACTTCAACTCTAGTGAAGTGGAGATACAAAGCACTTTGCTCAGAGGGGCCAGGCATAATATATAAACATGTTCTATATATGGACCAAGAGAGAAAAGAAAATGGACACTATGGCCATAGAGGAGGCACTGACGTGAGACAAACAGTTGCATTTAAGAGCACTACGTACGACACTTGGTGTTTTTGCTAGTATGAAATGGAGGAGTACTGATGTCTATGGAGAAATGTGAGGGCTTTCAGGAATAAGCTGCTGAACACTTATATAATAACCTCTCAAAAAATGGGATGGCTGAATGGCCAAACAAAATAATGAATTTATTAATTAGAACAATGAGCTAGTCAACACCTGTCTATCTTAACAGTATTATGAGCCTGAGTTAAAGATGAACTATGTAACCTTTCTCTCGTGCTTGTCTCCATGGAGATATTAATGCTTTGTCTGGAATATTCCACAGTATGCCATAAAACATGCAATAATTCATTTACCAGTGTTACACTGAATACACTGAAAAACATACATTCTTACTGTCGATCTCTGTTGACTGTGTGATCTCCACTGATTTTATCTGTAACTTGATTGTGCCTCAAAAGTGTTTGCCCTATATGGAACATTTGGTATATATTATGCAAATGTTATTTTATTCGCTTTTAACCATGTTATAAAGATGGTTCCTCATCATCAGCTTACTCAAATTTGTATTTTGAAGTTGTATTTTGATCATTTGAGTCAAATAGCTGTTTTCACCTTCCCCTATCTCCACCCACTCCTCTGTACTTGAGATTATTTAAAAACAAATATAGGATGGTTACACATGTAGAGATCAAAAATATAATTTTTCGATAACAAAAATGTTATGTGCTACTTGCTATTGTGAAATGCCACTACGTGTGCATGGGCCTCTGAGTTTTGCTATTTTAGAGAGAATGTCAGTGGACCTGCAAGCTAATTCACTCCTAACAAACTATTTCTATTTCACTGGTAAGACAAAAAGAGTTCAATGAATAATTTGAGTGATTTTGTGGAGTCAAACATTCACAAAAGACTAAGTAATGCTAATGAAAGATTAACAGCTTAAATATATGCACAATCACACCTGCTGAGGTGGGTTTATGGCTTGTGAAATATCTCACCATATCGGTCTTGAGCGCCTCTGTGACCTCTCCTGTATTCGTCTCTCCTCTGTCCCCACTGACATGGCCCAGTCGCCTGTTCTCTGAGGCCTGGAGCATCTGTAAAATGTTTGGGCTGCTTTTAGGAGAGGCTTGCTCTTCCTCTGCTGTGTCCATCCTGATAGTTTCTGGATCGAGGAACTGATGAGGCAGTAAGGTGCTGTCCTGTTCCCCTTCCATCGCACACACCTGACTGAGACTGGGGTGTTTTGGCGGATCTTCAGAAAAATAGCCTGTTTGTTGACAGGTGCCTCCTTCACTGTGTTGGCTAAACAGCAGAAGATGGGGGCTTCTCTGATCACATACTAGACCAGGCATAGACATAGACTCATTATCGCCAATAATTCAAAAAAGCTGTTTTCAGAGAACAGGGAGGCCTCTCTTACAATTACAGTGAGAAATAATATAATAAACAAATAAACAATGGGGGTTTTCCATGAAGTGAGCTAAAGTAAAAGCCTGGCTCATTTGGTCAATCCAGGCTTGTGAAATCCTCAGCTCCGTTCCAGCAAAGAGGCGGTGCTGAGTTGAGGTAGTAACAAGCACTTGGACACAAACCTGGTCAGGACCTGGCTAACTGTTAAGATTATTTTAGCTCTGTCTTTAAGAACATCTAAAGAAACAGTTTGGTCAAAAGTTTCAGCACGTTGTGCACTCACCTGTGTTAGCACACCTTTCTCTGTCTGATACTGTTTAAAAAGTGACTTTTACCAACCATATGCTCCTATGCACACGTGTGTTGACGCTGCACTCATCAAAAAGGCACAAATAATATAAAGCCTATGGCCATTATTTATTTATCTTGCACATGTGGCTGTTGTGAGGGGCAGGGAAGCTTTTACGCACAGACAGATGCTGGTTGGGACTCTGAGGTGAACTGGTTTTCAGTGGGTTCTGGCTGTGTGCTCCTTCATCATGTTTATCTCTCTCTTCTCTTTTCCCTCATCTCTCACTCTCTGTCAAACTGCAAATATGTCAGTGCTGATTTTACAGTTTCTTGTTAGGCTACATGTGAAGAGGTCCGTTACAGCTTCACTTTTACACGCAGCGGAACGTAAGCTCCACACATACTACCGCACATTGGGAAGGGGTCAAGCAACCTCATTCCCCAGCTCACATTTACCATGGTCCACATTCCACATCCAGCCTCCTGTCTGCCCGTGGAGCAACCAGGAGAGGGGGGGTGAGCAAACAAACAGCTCCAGTTCTAGCAAGTCCTTTTTTCCATAAATAGACATTAGGAGGTGTGCCTGTGTTGTCTAATAACAGAGGTAGATCATACAGAGACATGAGTGCAATACAAACACAGTCATTATAAACACTGAGTCAGTTGCACGTTTACATCACCAGCATCAGACTCTAAGTCAGACTCAAACATTATGGCTCAAACTACTCAGACTAACACCCTGTTAGGCATCTATAGTCCCACTTATTAAAAATCAAATTTATTGATTTAAATAGTAACTTACGAGAAGAAAATACAAATTTTTGAAAATAGGAAACATCAGTAAGAGGCAACCTAATACATTCACAACATTTTGCTGTTTTGCTGCAGAGTTTTCAGTCACATACAATAAATTAACTTAAAGGGCTTGTGCCAGTTTTTTTCCCCACATAATTAAGTAAAATCTGTTTTGCCGTTGTAGATATATTGTAAAAGCAGCTATCAATAAGACTGATGTCTGCTATCTGCATTTTATTACAATTTTATTCTCTGTGTGTCCTTAAGCATGCTGATGTTGCTTTACCATTCTAATGTTGCTAAAACCATGAATCAGAACCAATAAGATCTTACTATAGGCTACTTCATTGGATAAAACTCTACTATTGCCTCTGAACGAGCAAGGATCTTTTAGCAAAACAAAACTACATCAAGATGTGCGAATGTCTTTTTATTAATAGCACCAATCCAATTATTACCAGAATTTTGTTTTATGAAAAGAAATTATTTTATTAAAGACATGTGGATAAGAGACAACATTTGAAATTTGCATGCATGCACACAAACAAGAAAACAGCTCCATCTGACACATTTTAACATGCTACTGTCAATACAAAAAACATGTCAAATGAATGTAGAACATTCCTAGAGTAAAACAATGTGTAATATAAAAATATTTAGTCACAAAGAATCATGAAAATGTAGTAACTGCACTGTAGCTGTTATTTTCAGAATGTTGACAAATATACACAGATCAAACTTTGTTATCCTAATGTTTTTGTTTTTTTCTCATTATATCATTTAATCTTTTGTATATCCTGCACACATTATGCACAAATTTACAGTAATGAGACAGACACCACATATATCTTTTTCAATCTTTCAACACACAAACACACACTTCTCTTTTACTATACATATATACAAAATTGCATACATTTCTGGAGTAATGGGTGTTGTACGGGCTGGCAGACCAAAATTATCCTTAAGTCTTTTTGTGCAAAGCTGAGTTTTCTGTTTGTGATCTCATCTTACAAGAAGGTCAAACTTTTTGTAAACGTATCAGTATGCAGGCCACTCCTCACCAACGGGGAAGACACTGGGCCTCATTCATGAATCTTTTCTTAAAAAATGTTCATAACTTCCACTTTAAGATGATGCTGAGAGAACTCTGTGCCGGCTTTTTAAGGTAGCATTTTACATCAATTTTTTTAATAATAATTCATTTCATTCTAGCTTAATTTACTATATTTGCAGAAAATGGGCAAGGAAAGTTTTTTATGTACATCATTATTTTCATTCGCAACACAATGCTTTAAAGTGAATAAACTGACAGTCCATGTCAGTGTCCATGTGTACACTGCTCACCGCGTTGTCCGTATGTTCTTGTACTGGCACAGCAGCAGGTGTTTGAAGGTGTTTTTGAAGGTAGCGTTGCACAGGGCGTAGCAGGCTGGGTTGATGGTGCTGTTGATGTAGCACAGCCAGTAGCCGATCATCCACAGGGAGTTGGGGATGCACACGGAGCAGAAGGTGTTGACCAGGACCATCACATTGTATGGAGTCCACGTGACTACAAACGCCACAAGGATGGCCATGATGGTGCGCGTCACTTTCTTCTCACGAGAAGAAACACTCCTCTTCTTCCACTTGGATAATGCATTCTGCTTTGTTACCTGGTGGAGGAGAGCAGCATTTTATATACACCAGTTTACAATCAATGAAAATGTCCAGTATAATAAAACGCCAAATGAATGTTAAACTGAGTAATGAATGTAATACGTAGTATTTAGATGTATCCAGATCCAAAATGGCGCATGTTGTAATTTTATGAAAGGTCAAGTGTATCATCTGTATTAAAGAAAGTACGCAAATTTACACTAATTGTGCTCTCTCATATGTTCAGTTTTCTGGCCTTGTTAAGTGAATTATCCTCTCTTGTATGAAAGCTGAATAAATTACCTTAAAGAGGGTCCTGGTGGTAAGACTCTGCCTGTCAGCGGCAGAGCTCCCTGGAGAGGGTGGTTGTGGTTTTCTTGCTCCATTTGCTTCATTGTGTGATGTGCCGTTGGTGGAGGCCATGCCTCCAGATGTCGAGGCCTCAATGTTATCATCCATATTGTCGGCCATGTTGTCCTCGGGGCATTCCTCTTTGCACAGTGTACTTCCATTCTGCTGCTGCAACATCTCCTTCTCCCTGGCTTCACTGGGAGGCTCCTTGGGGGGCTGGCTGTTCTGAGCCTCTCCCTCCTCCTGGCTGTGAGAAGGGCCTTCGCCTAGACTGGTCCCAGATGCCTTCCTGCAGTCCTTCTTCACCCGGCTGCGGCTGGCCATGGAGATGCGCCAGTACAGGTAGATCATGATGGCCACAGGTAGGTAAAAAGCGGCTATGGCCGTCCCAAATGTCACCACCGGGTTGGAGAAGAACTCAATGTAGCACTCCTCAGGAGGCACTGTTCTCCCGCCTGCGATAAACTGCCAAAACAGGATGGCAGGTGCCCAGAGGATGAAAGACAGCACCCAGGCCGCCGCGATCATCAGGCCCGCCATCTTGGTGCTGCGGCGGGCTGGGTAGCTGAGAGGTTTAGTAACGCAGAAGTAACGGTCAAAGCTAATGATGAGCAAGTTCATGACTGAAGCATTGCTCACCACATAATCAACAGCTAGCCATAGGTCGCACACCACCGCGCCCAGGGGCCAGTAGCCAATCACGATGTAGACAGTATAGAGGTTCATGGAGCAGACACCGATAATGAGGTCTGCACAGGCCAGGCTGAACAGGAAGTAGTTGTTGACAGTCTGCAGGTTCCTGTTTACCTTTAGAGAAACAACATGAGCAAGCTGTCAGATGCTAATCTTTTTGAGCGCAGCATGATTTGTGTTTTCTCCTTTCTATTAGATTAGCACTCGGCAAAGGGGAACGGCACGCTGCTGGCTCTTTCAATCTAATGTGGCAGAAAATGAAGGAAGTTGTTGCCATTACCCTAAAGTTTGTTGAAAAAGTTAGTTCATGAAATTGTTATTTTAAAAGTATTTACACCTGATCAATTTACTTTTAGTAAAATGATTCAGCTCTAATTTGGACATTCATAATACAAAAAAAAAATGTATTTTTTGCCATTCACCGCTGTTGAGGTTTGCTAACCCAAAATTGTGCAATGTAATTATATATCAATTTAAATGTATTTAAATGGGCAATTAGACTAATAGAGAAATTTTCCATTTACTAGTTGAATTATTGTGAGTATTTACATTTGTTGTGTCATGTTTTAATTATACTATATGTTGGCATATATTCACTTAGTAACATGTTGTAATGTAATTTGTTTACTTTTATAGTAACATTTCATATTTACAGTTAACTTACATACAAAGAACTATATATAAGAATTTGATTTTAAATTTCATAAAGCTGACCTATCTGTGTTCCCATATACGAGATAAACATGTTCAAATATAGCTCTTACTGATAATAATTGTAATGTTGATTCATTCTTAATTACAAAAGCACAGGGCATGATATCCCATTTATGTTGCCATTTGGTGTTTTGGTTCTCAAAACCACTATCTAATCAGAAAGCAGAATGCCTTCTGAGCCTCACCTGAGTCTCTTATTTGAGTCACAAATTTCAGTGCTATGATCCAGTGGGTTTAAAACTAAAAGGTCTCTCTCTTATCTCTTTGACCACATAAACCTCAGCACCTGCAACCAACCATAAATCATTGCTAGTGCAGCCTCTGAGCGAATTCTGGCACATACAGCTTAGATTCAGTTGTGAATGTAATACTTTTTTAAAAACTGTAAGAGTGCACCCTACATAAAGTTCTTTTAATTATAATACTTACACTAAATAAAAGTGTACACACCTTTATAGAGAGCATGACCAGGATGTTCCCGATAACAGTGATAAGACTGAGAGAGCCTGCCACTAGAATGATGAGGCCGATCTCCAGGGCCGTGTACTGGCTTTTGGAGAAGAGGCCGGAGCTGGGGTCCACACTGCTCATATTGGCTGTATCGGAGGAGTTTAAACTGGCCATTCACTCCCTTGTTCCTCTCATGACACACTTAGGACATCTTCTGCTTCTCCTGTTAAAAAAAGACAGTAGATTAGTTTTAAAGTAGGGATGCTGTGTTCCTGTGGTTATCTAAAAGTGGGGGGCAGGTGTTTTATCTTTTGGATACAGCTCGGCTCAGGTGCGGCTGAAAGACAGGTGAGTAAATATAGACTTAGACCGATGGGTTTGCTAACCGACAGTACTACCCCAAATCCTGGTATCTGAAAACACAGTGTGAGCTGATTTGGATGTGACATTTGCCAAAAAACTGTAAAGCTAGTGGTTCACAAAACCAATTATACTTTTGGGTTATCAGAGATAACCAGTTAAAGGTACAGTGTGTCACTTTCTGGACATGGCCCATCACCTGCGTGATTCCATGGAAATGGAAGGTTAAAATCTCTTTGGAACATTCTTCATGAAGATAGTATGTAAAACGTTTTTTAAAAAAATTTTTTAAGTAATTAAATGATAGTCTTTTGGTCACAATGCACTTTTCAAAAGACTTTGGTGCATAGTGGGCCATTACCACTATGGCCATTATGGCTATCTGAATAATAGTCAATTCACGAGAGACTAGTCTACAGTTTTTATGAATTGGTAGTTTAAATGGTTTATTGAACTTCATCAAGTGTTATTTGTCCTATCAGCAACACAGGTCTTCCTGCGTCTGATAGAAGATCAGTGGTTAATTCAGCCTGACCATATAAATATCTCAGCGATAATGCTAATGATCCATTATGGCCAATCCTACATGAGACAAGCCACCTTAATCAACCCTTTGCTTGGTGCCTTTCATATGAAAAGTGTATGAACAATTTAAATGTCTGACACCATATTTGCTTTAAAGCTACCATCTGTAATTAGACTGGCTGAACCGCCTTTGTTGCATTGTCATATACATATCACAACTAGATTTGCCAGGTGATGGGAGGGGGAACAGAGTTCACAACAGTTATTATACATACTGTTGAAAACAAAAACAAAAAACAGATGGTGGCAGTTTGAGAAAGCTGGTACCAGAAGTTAGCCACTACTCTGACAACTCAAACACAAAAGTAGTGGCTCTCTGCGTTATGTTTGGGAACCACACTTTAATACCTAATTTAAACCTAAAGATCACTCTCATGCACAATTTGCACAAATCAGTCAGTAAAAAGTCAAGTTGTTATCTTGATCACCCAGACCTACAGGACTCATTTCATTTGTGCGACTCAGCTCCAGTCAAATGGGCACAGCCTGCTTTGGAAATCAGATTTTGTACAACCAGTTAGGCAGACATATGATGTTGCAGAGAAGTAAGTGGCTTTAATGCAAAAAGATATTTACTAAAATGGAGTTATCTACACAATTATATTTGCCTCTCCACAGACTGATGAAAAATGACAAAAAATATTACCACAGGTGTCTGTTTTTGTGCTTAATGAGGGTCAGTGTTGTTTCCGATGAGGCCACCCACGCTAGGTCACCATTTAGTGTTTTAGATAAAAGCCTTTGCTGCTGTGGCTAGTGTCTGCCTATTTGGAGCTTAAAATCACCAATAATTATGAAACATTATCAGCCAGGGGGAGGTCACTTACTGTTACGCCCTGAAAGACATGTTCGGATTCTATGCAGCGACATATCAATGCGATTAACTGATGTATTCTGATGAAGAAATCAATGTAAAGACACTTAAAGGGGCGTGTGGAGGTCTCTGAATACTGGTAAATCCCTGTAAGTGAGTCCATTAGGCCACATGATAACATCAGACTGTACCTGAGAGATGGGTCCTTCCTGCTCCTACAGACAGATCAAACTTCATTACAGTCACACTAACTAAGAAGGACTTACACAATAGGCTCTGTTCTGGGCTCCTCTGCTGCATAAGAGAAGGGGGCACAATTTTCACACACCATTTTTTTTTTTAGATTTTTCCCCCTTGAGTATATAGTATCGAACTATAACAAATGTAGATGATTGTTTTACATTTTGTTCAATGTAAACCGCAATATTGATCTACAAAGACTTAATAATAGAAACACATCCATGGACTTCCTGTTCAAAACTCCTGAAATGATAAACCTCATAAAGCAAGACTAGCAAGACTCTGCCAGCCTTATTAAGCTTACAGTGAGCAGAAATGAACAGCACACAACACAACACAACATGGAGCAGTCACAGGAAAAGAGGCTTTTTGATGTAAAAAAAAAAAAAAAAGTTTCAGCTTCAAAGGGTTAAAGCTTCCAGTTCTACATTTGAATGTGGATGTTTTGGCTTTTAACCATAGCACGGTGTAGATTTTTAGTCAGATTTTTTTTAACCCTACATGTATGACCTGATTTTTTGGAAAATTTAAAGTAAATACAGAGCAGTGGGTGTGGATAGGGGGTAGGTGAAAAGAAGTTTTCTGAGCACTCAAGGCTCAAATGCAAGACAATACACAGAATTACTCAAGCATCCACAAATCAACAGAAATAGTACTCTGAGTAAGCTAATGGAATAATACCCAATATGCCAAAAGTATATTTTACATAATATGTCAGTTTTAACATAAACAATCTGATAGGAAAAAGTAAAGCCCCCCACACTGTCTCAGTCTTTTTCATGTCATTTTTTCATTGATTAAGGTCAATGAAAAAATTACATGTGTGCAGGAGTTTTTTTTTTTTTTCCCTACAAGTGAAGTACCCATTATCTTATGCACCTGTCACCTACTCAGGTGTGCAAGGCTCTTCTTGCAATGAAAATAAAAGGACATAAAAGACTCTTTTACACCAAATTATTTTATATACATAACATAGTTACAGCACAGGTGTCAGTATAGCTCAGAGTAGAGTAGACATTGTTATAGTTATAGGAATAGGGTGTATAATAGGTTAATATGTATTTTAAAAGGTGAAGCTAACTCATACTTGGAAATACCTAATGCTCATTATTGAGATGTGTGGTTGTATTGTACATGTGTGAATAGTGTGAGTGTGTTTGGTTCAGAGAGTGGACAGGGTGAATAGTTCTTATTGTTAACTGAATGTAATGTCATGTAATGGTTCTAGACGAAATGTGATCAAGCCTTCTTGGTCCAAGCACCTCAGCTTTGGAATGACCTGCCTGAGGAGAAGGCTTGTACCATCAGTATCTTCTCTTAAATAACTTCTTAAAACATTGTCCCTTCATATAAAAACTCAAAAAAAAACCTAAACTAATTAGTGACATCTCAGTAAACTTTGGATGTACATTTCTTTGTACATCCAAAGTTTCAGCCCATATGATATTGCATTCCACTTTAATAACTTTGCTTGTACTGTACACACTTTCTTTACTTTCATATCCCCATCCCACCTTAGACCATATCCTCCATTCAGACCTACATAACTAGTGCTCCTTAATTGCTATTGGGAGGCTACTGGAGAGAGTCACCCAGGCAGGCTACATTTCTTTGACAGGCACAGAAACACAGTCATTAGATGGAGCAGATGCTGCTTGCAACAGCTGGACCGGTAATCTGCTCCTTGAATATACTCCTCATCTGGAGCTCTTTAAAAACCCCACCGTGTACCTGATATTATATGAACAGTATAAAGCAAATAGGAAGCTAGAGAGATTGTAATGTTTGCACAGACAAGCTGGGGACAGTTCACAGTGTACAGACCATATAAAAAAGACTGAACTACCACTATGATCAAAGAGATCTTCAGTATATGTTGGTATACAGGTTCTTTGGATTGCTATTACAAACTGTTTAAAATATTGCAGGTTTTAGTAACCAAAAATTGTGTATGTGTACTTAAAGGTGCACTATGTGACTTTTCTGGTGGGGGTTTGCAGTTTGCTTCTCTCTGTAGAGATTTTACAGCATTGACTGGAATGTTCCACAATTTGGCATTGCATTTATTTAATTGCAGGTGTATTTAGTGCTCAAAATTACATTGAAATACATCTAGGTATTCTTTGAGGGTATTAAATTTGTTATCAATAAAAAGACAGCTTAATATGGAAATAAGTGGTTCAGTCCAAAAACTCTGAACTTAGGCTGATGGGAAGTGAGCGAGTTTGTGTAAGTCTGTGTTTTGTCTGTATGTACACTTTTGGTACGAATTTCACATTAAGTTTTATAAATGAGACTCCTGACCATTAACTTGGTCTGATGGCATTGTCTGCTACATATTATTAAAATTTTCTCATTAGGTCACAACACACAGTTAAAGTTGATCAGTTAAACATATATTTCCCAGGTTCATACAAACTTCATTTTATGACAAATTATCCTTCCTGCTCTTTCTCCTAGTCACTTTGCCACCTCAAATTTAATTTCACAAAAGTGTGTCCCAATTCGCAGAGTGGGAAATTTCACATCAGCCTGAGTGCTAGCCTCACAAAAGGGTGCAACCGAGCGCGAAAAGTCAATGTGCGGACTGCTACTGGAAGACAGGCGCGTGCAGTGAGTGGCAAAATGAGGTCTGGCATCGCACCAAGCAAGAATAAAGAAACACGATATGAATTATTGTGTAGAAAAGCTTGTGTATTGTACAATGATAGTGTAAACTGAATGCAAGCAGGGGATTCCTTGGGCGCAGGGAGACTGGGGAATCCGGAGGCAACTAAACAAATCATGCCATTCAAGTTGAAATCAAGCAAATGCTTATGTCTCCCATGAGGCTATAGCAATGAGCCAACATTTCAGTGTGACAAACAGTGCAAAACTCCATTACTTCATGCTCATAAACAATAAAAAATAACTTTGAGTATATGTTTTCTTTGAGCTACAAAAATATCACCCTCTCACTATGATACAGAATCTTCAAGGACTAATAATTTCTTCATTAGTGACTAATTGAGTTGCCAGTAAGTGCACGCCACAGTCTGGATAAAATTTCAATCAATGCAGCAATATCTAATCAGCATTGCAAGTTCAAATTCCTGGAATTTGATTATGCATATTTATTTTCACAAATTTTGCACTTTTACTGTAACTTTTTCTTAAGAAAGTGAATGTATAAAAGCTAAGACTAAGCAAGGCAATTATTCATATTGTTCAAATGCCATATGGGTCCACTAATTTTTGTTTTAGTATCATTTACATTTTCATAATACACAATTTCTCCAATTCAGAATGTACTAATAATTCACCTAAATATTTCACTTTCATTTAAGGTCCTATAATATAAAAAAATGGGCTTACCTGGACTGGTGGGAATGTATGGGTGAAGTGCAGCCCAGTTTTGTCCATATTACCGAACATCAGACAACAGTTACATGGATGTGGCCCCTCCTCTGACAAGAAGCAGTGTGGTTAGTGTAGCAGCAGACCCAGGCACTGTCAGACAGAGGAGGGAGGGGTTAGGGGCCTATTAGCCACAGTCGTGTAGCATCCCTCAAAGCCAGGGTCACCAATATGAACAAACAACCAGCAGATACAGGAGAGAGAGCATCTGTGAATCGTGATGTGGAGAGCAGTTTGGAAAGGGTAAGAAGCTCAGGAAACATGGGGTGTTCTGGGTATAATCTGTTAATGGGATAAGAAATTAGATTACATTAAGGGACAAAATGCATGGGATTCAACTTGAGAGTTAAAGGTGCACTATGTAACTTTTGGGGGTCCGTCACCTGCTTGCTTTATGGATATAACATGGCTTTATCTGGAGTGTTCCACAGTATGACAAAAACAGCTCTACAAGTGGTTTTATAGCTCAAAAATACAAAGAAAAACAGACATTCTGACTGTGAGCCTCTTCACACATCTGACTAGTAACTTCTGGTCTGGTTTGGGTTCCATGAAGCTAATGGTTTAATACCATTCTGTGGAACATTCCAGACAAAGGAATAACATCTCCATGGAGAATAGCATTTGATGGACCCTCCACCAGAAAAATTCCACAATGCACTTTGCACTTATACAATCCTAAACTCAGGTTAAAGTAGGTCTTAACCTATGCCCTCTGAGGTCTATATGTGGACTAAACCCAAATTAAACCATAGATTAAGTAATTCTAGCTCGGTCTGATGACTGGAATTAACTAAAATGATTAGGAATCAAGTGAATATAAATACTCTGAATTTGAACAACTGTGACTAAAAAACTAAAATATGACTTATTAAACTCGACATTTCAAGATCAACATTTAGTTTGAACTGGGGGAATATCTGCCTAAAATAAGAAGCAATATATTGAAGGCCTTATCAGATGAAGAAAACAACCCTTAAGTACATCAAGTAAATACTGTACATTAAACTGTAGTCACAATATAAAATTAAGAGTAAACTAATAAATACCCTTAGCATCCAAAGAAGGTCTAAAGCAAGTCTATGGCACGTCAATGCACTATGACTAACAAACTTCACATTTAGGCCTCAGTCAAAGCATGGCTAACATCTATCACCTAAATGCAAGATTTGTGTTGACCACCAGAGGAGACCTGCACAACACTGGAGGCACACTCCAGTTTGAGAACCCTTACTGTGGGCCATCATGACATGGTATACGCCTAAATGTAAAACTTATGGAGAGAGGAGAGGGCTGGCTGTCCTGCCGGTACTGGCTGCAGGACTCTAACCTTTGAAGACTCTGTTGCTGTGACCTTTAAACCAAACGGTGACGCAGTCCGCCCCGGCTCTACGATGACCTTACTTTGATGGAATTACCACAGAGAATAATGGCTGCTCTCTGGGGGGACAATATTGCAAATGAAATAACAAGCATGCCATCAAACATCAGGACATGTAAACACGGGGCAATGGCTGGTTGGCCAAGACAGACATAAAAAATGTGCAGGAAGATTTATTTGCATAAGGAGATAGTTAATCATGGGCACATTATTTCAATTTCTTTGGTCAGTAAATCATTTTACAACAGAAAATGCAAGCATTCAGAAGTAAAGTTAAGGAGAATGTTCCACTATAGGGATGGCATAAGATCTTGTTAGATAAAATTTAAACAAGATTGCCCAAACTGAAAATGATCTTGTGAGATTGTTTTCCCGTTATTACGTTTAGATTGGATTAAAAAAAAAGTGCTGGCAAATAATTTTTTTTGAGAAGCTTTATTCCCAAAAAGCTCTCGTACAATGACAGCAGAAATATGAAATTCCCAAATTGAGAACTGATTGCACAATTTATTTATTATAAACAATGTCAGAATCTCATTTTGTCTTGTTCTTGTAGACCCAATCTCTTGTCTCGTCTTGTCGTGTGGGAATTGTATCTCGTCCCACCCCTATTCCACTATATTCTACATTCATGGGGGACAAACGTGACTCAGAGGTTTGAACAATCACCCACAAACGAAAAGCTTTGCAGTTAGGAGTCAGGACCCCTCCCCGACATGTGCAGCTGTGTCCTGATTCCTGACGAGACACTTTGCCCATCTAGCCTGTGCGAGAATAGTGCATGGAGAGTTATTGATTGGTGGTGCTTGGAGGGGCCATGCAGAATTGGGAGTCACGCTTTAGTCCATCTATCCAAGGTTGGCTGCTGTGTCTACAGAAGCTGCCTACCACCAACATGTGTGGGAGTGCGCTAATGAAACTGTATGTAATAACATGGCAGGTGAGGTAAATGGAGTGTGGAGAGAGTTGCAAGAGTCTGTTTGAAAAATTATGTTGTTTCATTTCACAGGAATGACTTTGCCAAAACACATTTTTGTGAATATGATTTTCTGTTACATTTAGTGCTTTAACTTCTACACAAATCCAATCTTTCATTATTGTTATAGGTCACGTCTGCAAATGGCACATCCTCCTCTGTCATGGCTCAAATCAATAGAGAACTTGAGGCAGTGTTCATCATGGATTTACATGCGTATTCTGCTGCTTCCTGGACCGTTTCCTGTCAGAAATAAGACCGCCCAGCACATATTTATTCCTTCTACTGAAATACAATCTGATTTGAGATGATTGACAAAGGAAATGCAAGAGTAATGATGGATAATGAATTTCTGAACTGAAGATGAACAGCAGATGAACATTAGATCAACATTGTGTTTGGGTGTTTCCTGACACTCTGACACTCCCATAGTTAATAAACTTGTTATTGATAGGGTACTTGGTAGTGCTGTTAAACTTTTGGACCCTTAGTAATGGTATACTGCATCAATGAGTCACCGCTTATTAAAGCACATGTAATGTAAACTTGCAGAATGGATATGTGTAGCACTTTGGAGTTTAGTCGTACATAAATGCAACAGTAGGAGCTGTAAAAGAGATCCCAAAAATTGAGGGAATTCACTTTGCTGTGCAGAGTCAATTATAACAAATGGATGACAGAATGAATTACCATCTAATGCCACAAGATGAGGTGTTTTGATCTTTTGAAAGAGAGACAGACTGAATAGGACTGATTATTCAAAAATGTATAATGAAACAAAACACGGCTCCATGTATGTTTTTTTAATCAGGTATGCTTAGGTAACTAAGGTTTATTATAATTTTGTCTTGTATAGGGGCATTTATCTAAATCTACAGTTGTAGCACGATCTTATAACCACTGTACCATGGTGCCACTTGGCATTTATCTGTGTTTCCATAAACCCTGCATGCCTCCTTTGGACACAAACGGCCTTAACCCTATGTTTAATTCATACTTCTGCAGTTATGTGTATGTTCTACTGGCCACTAGCTATGTTATTACATGTGAAAATGTCCTCTTGCATAAGCCCGGATATAGCGTGTACACCAATGGAGATGGCTAAAGGTCTACATTAAAGCCTTCTTTATTCTATACAATAGCTGTATGTTTTTATGACTGCTGTATGTGCTGCTATAATGGTTAGACAGGGGTAAAAGGAGGGCGCATTGCTTCGGGGCTTATTTTTGCATAACATCACAAGTCATTAAAAAAGAAAACATATAAAAGTCACTTAAGAAAACAAATCAATAAATAATTTTTATTTTTTTATTACTACAAATTAGCAAAAAAGTTTAAAATGTGATGTCACCCTTTTTGTCAAAAGAATACATGCTGTCCTCTCCAGTGTGAAGAGGGTTACATAAACGTGGCTGTCTAGCACTTCTTGTGATGGAGGCGGCAACAATAAAGCTCTTTCCTTTGGACTACTATGCCTCAGGGCAGATGTGGCAAAATGAGGTCACAGAGTGGGAGCCATAGGACAGCTGTTTGAATGAGAGGCAGTGCATGTAACACTCAGACATGGCAGTTCCACGAACTTTGGAGCAGGGATAAGGGTTGGATGATGAGAGGCCAGTTTAACTTTTTAAATTGTGAATGACTGGGGAAAACAGTAGTGAAAAATGGTGGCGCTGCAGGATGACCTTGGGGTTAAGTTGTTTAGATCTGCAATAGTCCTAAGTCTGTTACTCAGGAAGCCCAATTTTTTTTTTTTTTTATGTTGAACTTGGTTTAATTTCCACTGAAGAAAAATATTTCAGGTATTAGAAGTCAGTAAAGAAATAAAGTGAAGTGAAATAATGGAAATATAAAAAGTATTTTTCTTCTATGTCAAACTACTAGTCTAAGTATAGTTAATGATTCAAGACGTACTATTTTAAGTATAAGAACTAATAATTTCATGTAGAACTCAATACAAAAAAGTAATGCTGTGCAGATTTCTGATATACAAAAACTCCAGGTATGAGGAAACAACACTGTAACACAATTAAAATCACAAAAGTAAATTTAGCATAATATTGGCCCTGCACTAACTTTTCTTGTAGAGGGTCTGCCACCTGCTTGTCTCTATGGTGATGTTATTGCTTTACCTGGAATATTCCACACTAGGACATTAAATTTATCTGTCTTCATCTAGAAAAACTGTTGACACCACCAGGCCTTATCTATTAAAATATTGACCCCACCCACAGCAAATGCATATTTTAAACACCAGAAACTAGATACATGCAACAATAACAAATCATTTTAATGCAATATCCTGGAACATTCAAGACAGCACAATACCATAAGTAGACAAGCAGTTTGCCTTCCCTACTCCAGAAAAGTTACATATTGTGGCTTTAATTCAAATAAGATTCTTACAGTTAACCCTCTCAAACAGACTGCATCATTAGCCTCTCCCACTCCTTTTTCCTTCACTATCTGCAGAGCTATCTACTCAACTATATTACATCATGTGCTGTTAGGGCCATATTAATTCTGTAAGTCCTCCCCTGACCTGCAGCTAGTCGTGACCAGCCTCCCTGCTTCTGCAACTCAAACCCCACCAGTAATGCACCAGTTTTTTGACCCTACTGTAACTGCCAGGAATATGAATATATGCACTTGTTTGTGATTAGTTATGCAAATGCCACGTAGTCTTAAAGAGCATGCATTACACACTCAAAGCAAAGAATACACTTTTAAGTACATAGACCCTTGCTACTACTGTTAATATATTGTGGTGCTCATTACAATGCTTTCAAATAGTAGATGGTTGGTGGTTCATTTCCACCCAAGAAAAATGTTTATATTTGTACTTGAGCAAGACCCATCACAACTCTTGCTTTCACTGTCTGTAGAATTTGAATGTGGGGTATTTCTATGATTATTGCAACAAAGAATACATTTTAATTAACATAAAATTCACTAAAATGTGCAAAATTATGCACAAAAAATCCTCTGGTTAGAATGTTGTCACTGCCTCAAAAACATACCTGGAGTTGGGGGTTACTCAGACATGTGTGAATGAAACTGAGTAACCTTTTATTATAACATCTACATCTCCAAAACTCTAAATGCTCTGTTCCTGAAGTGATCATTTTCAAGTTAAGAGTTACCTTTTACCTTTTGTTCAGTAGAGATTGGAAATTCCAATTGTGAAATTATCCAAATGAAGTAAAGGTGTGAAATATAGTAGAGCACTTCCTGTATTACCACATGACATCACAAGGTAGAACAGAATGTTTTCAGTTTGAGAGAAGAACTCTAAATATGCAGGATTTGGGTGTTAGACATGAGTGAATGAAACAAAACACAACTCCATATGCTTTTGATGAGGAAACAACATTATAACAAAGATCAGAAAAAAGCGCAATATGGGCCCTAGCTTGGGTCTCAAGTTGTATTTTTATGTTTTATGTTGCATTACTCGTCTTATCCACTTGATGTCGCAATTTTTTTTACTTCTAGACAGAGTTCTTGCAGTTTTGTAGTGTAGTGTAGTGTAGTTTATATTAACAGAAATCTAGACCTGGATCATGACAACGAATTAGTCCAACGCCTGTGAGAGTTATGTATATAAGAGTTATGTATATAAAAATATGTGTGGCTGTTTTTGGTCTCTGAATAGAAATCGTAATAGAAACTGGATGGTAAGTCATGTCTCTGCTGCTATCTAGTGGCCATGTCTGTGACTTTTGCAATGCCTCCTGAATTGTACTCTCAGAGAAGCCATATGATCTATTTCTATTGTCCTACCTGACAGAAAGAAGGGAGCATTGCTTTTGTAGGACATCAAGTACATCGTAGGGCCAACCACTGGGATTTATTAGAGGCGACAATTCTAGTGTCCCTGCAGGGCCACCACACATTCACATGCAAAGCAGGAGAATGTGAGCAGACTTCCCTTTCACCTAAAGAGGTCACTGAAAGGTCAACCCCCTTTCATAAGTTCATGTTACTGAGTACTCATGTACTTTTGTACTGTCAATACAAAAGAATAAACAACTTTCTCTTTTTTTATACATAGGTATCTCCATTCTATTATTAGCAATATGAGATACACCTAACATACAATTATGAAAAAAAAATCTAAACTAGGCATATTAGTAACAAACACAGGCAGAATTCAGATTTCTGTGTCCAAATCAGTCACCCATTCAGCATAAGTTTAGAAGAATAACAACATACTTTTTATCTTTTCAGATGAAAAGGGGACAATCAGGCTAAAAATGTATTGTTATAAATAAATATTAATATTGTCAAATATAAATTATCAGGAGTTGTGGTTGGGTATGATATAGTCAGTGGACATTGTCACAAATAATATGCCAAATATCTACAGATTTTATTATATCTATGTATTTAAAATATTTTGCAATTTAAAAAAAATTTTATAAAAAATCGTCAGTGATGAAATACTGCTACTGATCTGTGACATAGCATTTACATTCTGGAAGTGGCCCAATCACACAAAAAAATATCAGTAAATATTATATTATTTGGAGATGTGCAAAATTGTAATAGTATATTATATTATTTAAGTAAAACTAAGTTACAAAAGCTGATTAAAAATTAAAAAGATATACATATATATGTTGTAAACTATATATCATTATTATTATTATTATTATTATGCACTTTTAAGAAAGGAAATAGTCCCTATTCCCTATAGAAATTTTGTCACATGCTTTAACTGAATATACTGGCTAATTAATAACTTGATTTAATCAACACAAAGCTGCAGTCAGTAGTCAAACTTATGTCAGTAGAGGTCCCTGGAGATTACTATAGTCTTGTCAGCGCTTTAATTAGCATGAGAGTGCTGACATGCTGCTCTGCTCCATCACCAAACATCTCCTGTTGCATGATGGGAGTCAGTTGCCATGGCAACCACAACACACATGCAACTTCTTTGAATCACAAAGAGCCAAGTCCTAAAGGAAGTCTAGGTTTGGAGCCTAGTTTTGTTAAGAGGTCATTATGAAATAGGCCATTATGGGGCACATGAAAATCTTTCCACGTTTACTTATGCTTAGAGGAAAATAATGAGGCTAGTTTGCATGACGTGCGACATATCTGCAATGAAAATACATGTAAAGTATGAGATGTCTTATGACCGCAAACTACCCCCAGGCTTTTTATACCAACAGATATTTTGAGGATCTGGTTAATTTCAGGTCATCGTTGCCTTAATTTTTCACAAAGGCACCCACCATAGTTGCAAGGTGTTCTACAAAAATATATATTTTACAGTTTTGTTGTTTAAATGGATCATCTTTGCATGGGCTGCCGTGCTTGTTTCCCCCACTCATTTGAATGTGTGGAAGTGGTATTTCACAGGACTGACCGCAGGGCGTGATCCTCATTTGTGCCTGGCTGCATCCTCTCAGGAGAGCTTGAGAAATGGATTTGTGTTTCACTTGACTCTTCTATACCTGGTTTCTTCCAAATCCTAAAAACATATTGACATTTCATCATCAGTGTACAAACACAGCTCAAGACAATATTTCCTCAAAGACAGCAGATTGTTGATAATCTGAAGATAATCTCAAGTGCTCATAGAAGGCTATATTTACGTAACTGAGCACATTTACAACCATAAGCCTGCAATGCAAATCAGTGCGGACAGCTTGCATGAGGAGCACTTATGCTGCAAAAACAAAGGCACCCCCTGGTAATAAGTCTGCCTAAACAGCTTGCCACACTATATTCACATAGTAATATAATATATGATGATAATATTAAGTAATATACCAAAAATAGCTCTTTAAATAAAAAATATAAATGTCATAATTTGCAGCAAAGTAATGCAGCCAATACAAGGCACACTTGTTGAGCACTTGGTAGCAGTTATGGTGAAATCAATGTTTCACTCATATTTTATTTAAGTCTATACTGAAATAACTGCATAATTTATTGGTGTCCTTCTGATAATGAATATGTTTCTAACATCTTCTGTCACTGAAGGTAGGGGCAAAACAGGTTTGGCTTTATGGAAAAACAGAACAAAATCAGGTCAAACTCTAGAAGAGTGATTCATACTTGGACACATAGTTACACACCACATCAAAAAAGGGACTAAACTGTGAATAAACCCAGAACTAAACCAGGACTTCAGCAGGACTAAACCAAGACTAACCAGAACCAAACCAACTTAACCAAGCCTACATCAGGTTTGCCTGGACGAATCCAGACTCAAACATCAGGTCTGAAATGGGCTAAAAACCAGGACAAAATCCGGACTAAAAGTGTGAATCGGACTAGATCTGAACCTGATTATCCTAGTATCATAGACATAGACCTCACCTGATCCTCAACATTTCCAAAAGTCTGTGTGGGCCCAAATAACGAATAAAAACGTGGACAGAGAGAGATCTTAAATTTTTTGAAAGAAGCTTGTTGCATGTTGGCGCATGCGCAACATGGCGTTATGTGCAAAGAACAGGAAGCGAACTGTTTGAGACTCCGCCGCTGATGATGCCAACTGCACCCTTTATGTGAGCGATCATTAGCCTGCTCTGCGACGCTGGAGAAGACAGGCGAGCGCACAACAACCGCTAGTCGTGGATGCCGTGGTTTTCACTCGTGTTTTTTATAGATCGGCCCGAATTTGTGGAGATTAATCGCGAGGCAAGGGCGGGTTGGAATCCGTTTCAAGTCAAACGCCCTCCTCCCCGTCGCTGCTGCTGAATGCTAACTCGGTAGCCTGTGCATGTTGCTGTTGCATTCGTAGTTTAAAGTTTTGGTAACGCTTCAGTTTTATTCGGAGTTTAAGATAGAAGAAGATGGGGTGCACTTTGAGCACGGATGACAAGGCGGCACAGGAAAGGAGCAAGATGATCGACAGGAATTTACGGGACGATGGGGAGAAGGCAGCCCGGGAGGTGAAGCTTCTGCTACTCGGTGAGAAACATGGATGGATGGACGGAGAGGGAGGGTCGGCTTTGATAAGGGGCGAGGGGGCTGGTGGGGCACAAACTTCAAGCCGAATACAAACGTTATAAAATATAGCCTTATTCCATGTTTAATAAACTGTACGTGTATTTTTAATTTAATGATTACATCTGAGTCTCGCTGACACAACTGTGGTGCTGCGCAAGAGACTTTTAGGGCGTGATAAGAATTAGATGGTGGCACTATAAAGTTCATTAAAGATGATTTTTTTTTATAAATCCCCCCTTAATTACTTGTTGCTTATACACACTTTAATTCGACTGTTTGATTCTCAAAGCTGGTCGCGTTAGCTGCTGGAGACATCCTAGTCTATAAGCTAATTAGCAATTAGCATTTGGGCTAGCTCCCTAAAGCTAGCCTGGATTAGTCGCCTAAGTCTGCACAAAGTTAATAACTGTCTGGGATTGATCCCTAACCAATTTGTGAGTCAGATTAACATTCATAATACATATATCTTTTAAATATATTAATATATATATGTATATATATATATAATATATATGTGTATATATATTATGTGTAGGGCATGTTACACTAAATATGCATTTTTAATTTGAAAAAATTTAGGCTTTATTGTACCTAAATGGGGAATTATTTGATTCAGGTCATGTTGCAATATTTTATCATATTAATCTTGACTAAGCAAAGTCGCCATTGTTCTTGAACATGTATTTTGTAATACGCCCCAGTAAAGCCAAGACCTCCACGTCCACATTGGCAGCACACTGGTGCAGAGCTGGTGCAGATGGAGACTAACTCCATCCATGGCTCAAATCAGACATAAACCAAACACAGCTACACCCTGCTTTCTCCATCAGCTCGTGGATGACCACTGCTGTCACAGCCAGGGGAAGACTGGCAGCAGGTTGCATAGCAACCTGTGCAGCTTTGCTGACAGGAATAAACATCCAAGGCAACTATGCACACAGATCAACAGGTAGTGCATTGTAAATAGGCGATTGTCCTTGACTTTTCAAAGAAATCACTCACTGATTGTATTTCATTCAGAAAAAAAAAATATAAAAAAAAATCCATCTGCTACATGTAGTTATGCATGTGTCATTTGAGATGGCAGATTTGAATTTTCATGGTTATGTTTTCTTTCCTGTCACGATTTCCCACCAGCACCTGCAGGTGATTTATGAGGTTGGTTTGTGGATTTATTCCAAATGGAGCGATTAGCTTATGGTTTTGAGGACCTCAGGGTTAACCTTATGTACCTTATGTATTAAAATGTTCACAAAGAAGCCAGAGATGCGCAGATAGATAGATAGATAGAAGGGAGTATTACCTTAGATTAAAGCTGTTTAAGTAATTCAGTCATCATCATATAATGGGCACCCACAGAAAGTACAGCGGGCTATGCATTGTGTGATATTATTACAGGCTTTGCAAAAGCGTATTTCTCTGAATGATGCGCTTACATTTCCCGGGGACAGTGGCATGGAAGTGAAAGGCCACTGTTTGTTGTACTCTGAGTGTGCATGTGTTGTGAGTCTGTTTATCATATGGGACTGTCAGTAGTTTTCACCTTGGGAGAACTTGGCCCCTGTGGTGGCACATTAATTAAAATATTGTGTGCTCAGCTTGAAACTCCGTCTTTATCCAGTTTCCTCAAGATGCAATGTTACATCAATTACAACTATTACATTTTATACAGACTCATAACACCACAAAAAGACATGAAATTCGAATTTGATATTTTTCTAAACCTAGTCCTATACATATGTGCAGCAGGCTGTTTGTGGTTTATGTGAGCCAGCCTGTTGTGTGTGCCAAGCATTTGCTGTCCAGGCATGTATAAGATGTGTGTGTAATCTCATCGATTAGAGGTTTTACTTGAGTTACCAGCATTATGTTTGCATCTAATAAACTTTAGTGTGACATGGTGGGCCCTGGCATAATCTACAGAGCCAGTGGATCACTTAGTCTGGAGTTTGGACACACAGTTGCAACTTAGTACGGCCTCTTACGAACATGGGCAGCAATTCAAATAATATCAAAATACAAAAGCAAATATCTTACTATATCTTACTAAGCAGAATTATTTGTTGGCCCAAAAGTCATGTATTTTCTTTGATCATCTGTTGTCTTTCTTCTAGGTGCCGGAGAGTCTGGAAAAAGTACAATTGTTAAACAGATGAAGTAAGTGTCAAATGCACAATATTTTTGTACCACTTGGCTTGTGCCTTATTCTTTGTAGAGCGCACAGCATGTCCATTGTGTACTTGTGGCTTGATGTTTAATCCTTCTGATAATCTTCTATAATGTCACATTTAACTATACATGACAAGCAGATTCCTTCTAATATTTCAAATTAAATTAGAATATATACGCTATACATTTTAGTTTACATTAGAGTTGGGCGATATTGAGAGAAGAAAAAAGGCTTCTCCACTATTCACCTTTATTTCGAAAATTACACTACAAAACTCATAGTCATTATTCCAATTTTTATGTCTCCAAAACGACAATTTCAACAATATTACACATTTTTCAATATACCCCTCTGTTTCAGATATTATCCATTTTGATTCCTGGTAAACTGTAGTAATACTGTAGTAACATTTGCACTTGTGTGTTAGGATTATCCACGAGGCAGGATACTCTGAGGAGGAGTGTAAGCAGTACAAGGCTGTGGTCTATAGCAACACCATCCAGTCTATTATTGCTATCATCCGTGCTATGGGGCGTCTTAAGATTGACTTTGCTGATCCTGCTAGAGCGGTGAGTGGGAATAAGCTAACTGTGTACTGTTTTATGTATTTTTCTGTTAGCTAGGTTTCTATGTACTTATATTGCTGTATTAGGAAGGTCCTTATTCTCCTCAAGACACTGAAGCAGCTGAAATGAGCACTCTGAGCAGAATCCAACTTTTTAAATATAAATCAAATCTTATCACAATTAGCAGCCTAGGCAGCTGTGTCTGCTGAAATAGGTTATCACACATGGAGAGCAATGTGAAGCACTTTGAGTATCTTGAAAAAGTGCTAATATAAATGGCATTATTCTTTAGCACAAAAAATAAACAGGAATTACCCCTTAATCATTCATTGTAATGTTTTTAAATCTAGATATTTAATAAGGATATTTTAAATAATTAGAAAGATTTCAGTTTCAGGGTTTTTCATATTTTAGTATGAAGTATAATATGTTATGTGCAGGATGATGCTCGCCAGCTGTTTGTTCTTGCTGGCTCTGCTGAAGAAGGCTTCATGACCGGAGAGCTTGCCGGGGTCATCCAGAGACTGTGGAAAGACGGAGGCGTCCAGGCCTGCTTCAGCCGCTCCCGGGAGTACCAGCTCAACGACTCCGCAGCATAGTGAGTAGGACGCACAAGCACTAGTCTGTGCGCCCTTTACAAGAGATGCCAAAAGATGCACGCCCACTTTGGGGAAAAAAAACAAGGAATGGCATTTTCCAGTCATCTCTTGAACATCTAGAAAACTGGATGTTTTTCTGGCACAATGATGAGGGTATGTTAAGCAGGCTTGAATTTTGGATTTTTTCACTGGGTTTGGAAAATATTTTGATGGAAAATCTTTTCAGAAAATATAAATCCAGTATACAGCAGTCCTTAGGCTAAAAATATCTTGCCCTTTTGTTTTGTTTTGTTGTAGGGCAAAACAAATAGAGGACTAGCTTTTAACTCAACAAATCATGTTTTTATCACACCTCTTTTAGGAATGTTGTTTGAAGTAGAATCTAGTTATAAAATCTTCCATATTCATTTGTTCACCAATTTACATATTATGTCTAGCATGGAGGCTATTGACTTTCAAAGAACAATTACCACAACGGTAATGATTAAGAAATGTAGCTTCAAGATGTTTGTGGTTAACCTTTGCCTATTTATATACTATACTAGACCTCATTCCAGTTTGATTTTCATCAGTTCACTCATGCAGTTTTCTTGGAATTCTCTTGTTCACTCCAATGCCTCAACCTTATCTCATGTTGTGTACAAGCCATGAAAGACACTACAAAGCATAATAGGAAACCATAGCTCATATTGGTCCTGGCAGCACATCTATGCTCTTTGTCTCACTGACTTTTTCTTGTGTTCAAAGCTACCTTAATGACCTGGACAGGATATCCCACGGAGCCTATGTGCCCACCCAGCAGGACGTGTTGAGGACCCGGGTCAAAACCACCGGCATTGTGGAGACGCACTTCACATTCAAGGACCTGCATTTTAAGTGAGACTTCAGTCCACCTACTCATGACACGTCCCTGTTGGAGAATAGAATGGACAGGAAGTGACGTGGTACATATTCATAATGTGTGTCGCTCTCTCTTTCTCTCTCTCCCCTCAGAATGTTTGATGTCGGTGGACAGAGATCAGAGAGGAAGAAGTGGATCCATTGTTTTGAAGGTGTCACGGCCATCATTTTCTGTGTGGCTCTGAGTGACTATGACCTGGTAT